AGAGACCGGAAGATCCAATAGCAGCCGTTGATTTTTTGTCCATAAGTTACCCTGAAAAGACTTGGAAAAGGCAAGTCTTTATATTTAGTTTAGAATCTAATTTGAGTCAATTAACACCCTAAGCTCAAATTATATATCTAAGGTTTTAGTGGTATCAACGATAAGACGGCGACCTTCAAGTGCGTTTCAACTTTGACGATTAAAAAGTACATAATCAATTTGTGAAATCGAGTTCACTCTTAATATACAACAAGTAACCCATAATCACACAATTAAGAAACGAGTGATAAACATGACTAACAGACTAAGGAATAGTCCAGTCAAGTAGTCTTTTTTGTAAGGATTGAAATACCGTATCGTACCGGGAGTATTTAGCGGTATTAAGCGGTTGAACCACGATTAAACCACGATTTTAGTATAAAATATTCTATCGCTGATTTTTCCGGTACAACCTCCGATACGATATTTCAATCCTTGATTTTTTGTGATAATTGGTCTTCTTGACCATGATTGATGAGAAGCCCTAGGTTCACACTTGTGGGATTTATCATTTTGTGGCATTGCCACTTGATAGTCCAAAGGGGCAAAGGCCCAACGTACAAATTCCAACTTTGGGGAGGGAATCATAGAATTGAACACCCTCCTCACGTTGTTATGATTTCTTTCCCTAACCTTTGACGTCAGTGTCCCCCTTTTTGCACATAATTTTTGGACCATAATGAGTTTTAGGACTGGATTCCTTTCCTTCCCTCGACTATCTTTTCTTTATAGTAAAGGTTACTGTTGGTTATTATGACCAACAATGGCGTCTAGATAAGATAATTGGTTGGTTTAATTCCAAGTTAGATCATCATTATGTGGTTCGAGGACCTACGGTAGAATTGCTGCCCAAGCCAGCAATAATTATAGAGGGATACACAAAACATGAAGGAAGCTAGTGATGGTGGGTTCTTTTAATGATACTCATGTATGTGTATATATATATATATATATATATATATATACTAGGCGGAGATGTCGCGCCTTGTCCCGCGGCGGATATGGCCTTTGAGCATGTATTATGTGGTCCGGTATTGTGTTTTGTTAGTATTATTAGTATAAAATTAATTTTTTGTTAGTAGTTTTGTTAGTAATATTGACTAGACAATATGATATTGACTGAGAAGAGATATATGACAGTCAACATCATTTTAAATATTTTTGAAATTTTAGGCTAATAAATTATATTTACCTGAACTCAAGTAGACCCATTGATTATGGGTAGGGTATGCGTGACGTATATGTATATATAAGTTGAAAGTTTGTAGATGAGTTTGGGTAGGATATGAATATTTACTTTCATAATCTAAATGTGTATGAGTTGGGTATGGATACCATTTATTCGAGGGTGTTTTAACTACACATACAAAAATTAGACATATTTGTAGAACTTCAAAAATTTAGGAACAAAAATGTCACACAAAAATTTTAGATACTAAAATGTAATGTTCCGTCAATATTTTGAGGACTTATGTGCCAAAAAAAAAATAATTTAGGTTATAAATCTAAAGATCTATTAAGTTTAGTTACCAAACTATAATTTGTAAATCTGAGGCTTAAATCCTTTATGGTGATGTATTTAAGATGATAGTTATTTAATTTTTTATAGAAAAATGGAAACTATTATTCGATATATGTAGATACCTAGCAAAAAATTTCGTGTATAATTGTTGAAAATTCTAGCTCGGGTGAAAAATAAACTTTGGGAGAAGCAAAATGAATACAAACTGGAACTCGTTTAAAATTTCACGCCTTGAAATCGCATAGTGGAAAATGATTACTTTCTAATAAGTAATAACTATATATATTTATATTTAATTGTACTCGACAATGAGATGAAAAAGTTTGTGGTTCATGGTTCAATTATTAATTCTCTAGACTGTTGGTAAGTCCTGTATGGACCCGATCATACTTGTGATTAGAATACGTACCCGTTCATACTTGTGATTAGACCCGTTCATAATCACTGTAGCAATTTATTGACACTTGCTTATGTAGATGTCACCGATTTTGTTACAGATAGTTAGTAGAAGTTTGTTTAGTACCCCGTAAATGTATTAAATGAGTTTATAAAATCACTCTTTCAATATTTTAGAGTCATTTCTCTTTTATCATTTATTTAATGTTTCATGTAATGAGATACTATAAAATGGTCAAACCTTCTCCTACAGTTGAGTGATACAACATCTTGTTTGGTACAAACTAATTTTTTTTCTTTGGTGGATTGGATTCTTGGATTGATTCAAAAGAATTAGTGGATTGGATTCATGGATTCAAGTGAAATCTAAACATTGGATCAATATATAAATTTTTAAAAAATAGTAGGTATGAGTTGGGCAGTAAGACAATGGTCCACCGATACAGGGACTGCAAGTGAAGGCAGGTTACGATGGTCTCTTTGTATTAGATAGGTGTGGCGTGAGAGTTGCAACAGAATTCATGATGTTGTTATCCCCCCTCCCCCACCCCAAGTAAGCTAGTTGGAAGGATTGAAGAGGAAGTGCAGTTAATACTCGAAGCCAAACCCTGAAGCTGTAATGAAGTAGAGATAGGTTGTTTTGCATGTTTTTAGTAGATAGCTATATTGAGTAGTTCCTATTTTGGTACTGTACGATTTGTACTTGGAGGAGGGGTTCGAAGTTTGTAACGACAGGGCTTAATGAATTTTTTGATTAACCATAAAAAAAGTCAGTACAAAAAAACTCATAAAATTTAGATACCAAAATATAATTGTTCAATAATTTTACATTAAAATTAAATTTGGGGTATCAAAATGTAAAATATACATTATAGTGACTAAGTTGTAATTTAATTAAATTTGGAGTATCAAACGGTAAAATGTACAGCCGCCCAATCAGCTTGTAGGCAACAGTAAGTGCACTTCTTCTTTATATATATTAATAAAATATATACATATCATAACAACAACGAATTAAAGTGGATTGTAAATGAGATAGATTGGGTATCATATTGATTTTAAAATAAGAAAATGTCCATTGAGAGTATCAAAGAGCTGGAAATGCATCGATATAAAATGCTGATATAATTTGATTCACTTATAATTTTTTATTTAGTCGATAATTGTTTTTCGAATAAATAGAAGGAAAACAACGCAACCTCTTCCTTCTTTAGTAAGCAGCAAAAGAAGAGGGAGAACTACGGATACTCGTTGATATTCGGCCTCTTTTACGGGATCAATTCACAAAGTACGTGGGACGGGATGCATAGCAAAAAAGAAGGGAAAGGAATTAAACAGTGAAAGGAAACACAACAGCGAAAAAAGAGGACTAATAAAGTGGGTCCGTAAATTATGCCAAGGAGGTAAGCGGGAGAGTTACTACACTGCAGGGACAAAGTTGCGTGCGGGTGGGAAGGGAATTACTAGAAGAAAAAAATACACGAAAGAAAATCAGAAAATTATCCATGCCCCACCCCACGCTACTACAAGGCTACTACGGGGCGGGTATCTCAATTCCCATGCCCTACCCCACGCTACTACAAGGCGCCGCGTGGGTACGGGGCGGGGCGGGTCGACCCACTCTTACATGTTATTCGAAAAAAATACAAATAAGTTTTACTTTTTACGATAAAACGAAGGAAAAAACACTTTAAGAATGAAAAATAGTGATAATAGAATGGGTAATTGAGTCTAACAAATTGAAAGAGCGACTCTAACTAGTTGAAGAAAAGTCAAAATATGAGAAATATGTATAGAAATTGTAAGAAATTGAGATAAAATGAGTCTAGAATGGGGCGGGGCAGGGTGGGTCGGAAGTAGATACCCATGCCCCGCCCCACGCTACTGCGGGTCGGGTAATACCCTCCCCATCGCGGGTCAGGTCGGGTAATACCCGCGGGGCGGATTGAAATTACCATCACTACATCAACCTCCTTGTGCTCATGGTTAAGTATCGATTTCATCATCACACTTATCTATTTATGTCATATTTGGTTTACATAGTCATAGTTTTTTTTATTTTCAATTTCTTGTTTTTTATTTTTAATTTTTCACATTAATATAAATGATATGGAAGCCACTTCGTTGGCACCTCGGCCCTGAACACTGAGTCGCATATGAAATAAATGTTTGACCATGATGGTCAACCCAAATTTCGGGTTAAATTTGTTCATTATTTTCAAAAGTTGGTCATAACCGTACTATTTGAATGCTCGGTCCAAAACTGACACTTACGTCAATATTTCAGCCAAACTAGGGTACTAATCCTTTGAAATTTAAGGTTTTTTAGAGGAATTTAAGGTTTAATTAATATAAAAGCAATAAAGAATAAATTCATTTAATGGTTTTGTTATCACGAAGCTAATCGGCAAGGTAAGTATAAGTGACAAAAGAAATAAATGAATCACTTGCTGCTGCAGTTAGTTGACAAAATAACCGATAACCTACGTCCTACTATATGATTATGGTTAACTATATAAACCATGTGATTGTGATTAACAGTACAAAAATTATTTAATGATTGACTGATAACCTCAAATAAAAGGTTTAGTTTATAACTGAACCAATCCAATTCAATCCAATCCAATCCAATCCGACTAACAACCCTAAAGGAAACAAATAAATGCGGCAGTACATGAAACATATTTGTTAGAAACACATTTAAGAAGAGTTAACACATTTAAGAAGAGTTAACACAGCACAAGGACTAATGCGTTCAATAATATAGTACAAGGACTAGAAACACATTTAAGAAGAGTTAACAAAAACTGGGAATTTATTCTGATGTGGCAGCGCACCATTGGCGAAGCGCATAATGAAAAACAAAAGGAAAGAGAGAAAAGATATGAGATAGAACGAAATAAAAAATTGAAAAGGACTCGTTACGAGACGACTCCTCCTCTTTTTCTTTTTTCTCTTTTTTTTTTTTCCCCATCTCTCTCTCTCTCTCTGCTTCGTCCTTTCTATTTTTATGCGTTGTTGTTTTTTGTCTGGGGCGGAGGGACGAAGAACGATGAAGATGAACAGCAAACCGCGGCTTTCCCCTCCCCTCTTCTCTCTCTGAAGAAGCAGGAGACGAATACGAAGACGCTGCAGCGGGAGGAGCTGTGGCATGGAACAAGAGCTGGCCATGCTCCGCCAGCTCATTGCCCAGCTTCAAGACCTCTTGAACTTCTACGGCTCTCCTCCTCCGCCGCCTCCGCCGCCGCTCCGCCATCACCACAACCACCACCTCCTCCTCCCTCACAGTGACAGGTATCTATCTCTACCTCTCTCTCGGTGGATCTCTCTCTTCCGAAATTGCTGATTCTTCTGTGTTCGTTGATTGGGGGGAAATAGCAGTATTTGGTTCGGATTCTCTAATTTGAGCTTAGTGCGGTTCTGACGATTAACCTGTGCTAACTAATCAGGTTGTTGAGGATAATCAAGTGTCCGCGTGAGTGTGAGAGTTTGATCAGTTAGGTGAGTTGAGAAACTGAAATCGAAGGAGTAAATGATTTAATAGTTTCTCCCTGCCGTGTGATGCGATACAATGTGGAGGTTTTTATTTGGTTTCACCTCTTTAAATTTTCCGGGAAAACCTTTTGTTCTAAAATTGCTTTGCCGCTACTCTTGATGAATTCACATTGAGCTCTATTTCTCCATTTCCTCCACACACCCATGATTACCTTCTCTTCTTGAACTGGTTTACTTTGTGATTCTGAACCTCGCGGATTTTCGATTTCTACTGAATTCAGTTTTGAGTGGAGGGTAAGCTGAGTTTTTTTTTTGGGTTCCACTTTTTTAGGTTTTTTGGCTTCATAGTTTGTGGCCATTTCTTCATATGGCAGTTCCTTGATTGTTGTTTGTTCAAGAATTAGAGTTGCTGCACCTTATTCTGTTGACTTAGGTACCGGAGTATCTAACTATGAGGTTTTACCTCCCGGTGATTTGGCTCAATGGTCCTCCAAAATGCTTCCTTATCAATGTCCGTGGTTGGAGCCCTCTTAAATGATCTCTGGTTTGGTGATGGAAATCATGGGGATTTCGGTTTTATAAACGTGTATGTGTTGGATTGTTGATGGTGGGCGTAGAAATGAATGAACCGCGATTGTTATTGAGAAAGAAACACAAGCTTGTCATGTAACTGCTTCCCATATGGAGGTTTTCCTTGAATTTTTCACACATTTCCTCGCATGTTGTTATTGCATTTATGAATTCGTTGGTAGCCTTATATAAGATTGCTGTTGTTTGTACTTGTAAGTGTCGTAATACAGGGGCACCTTTTACCTTCTCCAATTTCTTAACCCAACCATCCTCCTGACAGACCATAGAAATGTAGCAGTAAATTTTCATCCCAAAAATATCAGGTACATTGTTGTCACACATTCAGCGAAAAAAATTCATTATTGTAACACCATTACAACTCATTGTGTTCTTTGTTGCTAATGCTTGGGATTCTGATATGCTGTGTAGTGAGCTATATTGTGAATGCACTTTCTTGATGCTTTTTAGCTGCATTGTCTAGCATTTGTTGCTGTACCATGTGCATTTTATGCTGGTTTCGAAACAGTCATGTCTGTGTCATTTGTGCAAGATCCGGATGCTGCCTGACACTCCTAGTAGTGTTGATTGCTGAATCTGTTGAGGAGCCGTTTGTGAATCTCTCCCCTTACATGCTTGAACTCTGTTCTTGAGAGGCTTAATTATTCGATATGAGGAGTTAAATGGACTGTTGGTGACTATTGTCAACTAGATACAGTCTCTAGGCTCGTGTCATCCTGATAGTGGACTGAGGTCTGGAAGTCACTAGTATGCCTGATACACTTCCAGACCACGAATATGGAACCTAGAAGCCGGCAAACAGTTAATAGATCCAATTAACTGTTCTAATTCCCTGTCTCTGTTAATGTTCATCTCGATGCTTTAACACTTGTTTTCATGATCACTAGTGAACTAGTACTTTTGTACAATATAAAGTTAATGAGTGGTTTGTGCAGATGTTGTGTCCTCAATGTGGAAGACGGCTCTGCAGATGACTACTGCGGACTCTTGATGGCTGCCGAAAAGCCTGAAACTTTCACAATGTTGGAACCCACCAATCCTCCACCCTCAAAGAAAATACGGAAGGAGCGCAATACTCGAGGCAAATTTCCATGCTCTACAAGCACAACAGAAGCCATGGAAGCTGAAATCTGGAAGGATTTCCCAGAAGACCTCTTACAACCTGTAATCGCCCGGCTACCCGTTCCCACGTTCTTCCAGTTCCGTTCAGTCTGCAAGAACTGGAACTCGTTGCTGCACTCTGAGAGCTTCTCCCAACACTCCACGCAGGCTCCACAACCCGACCCATGGTTCTACACCATCACTCACGAGAATGCGAACTTGGGAGCCATGTACGACCCTTCCTCGAAGAAATGGTACCACCACCCTACGATTTCCTCTCTCCCTGATAAGGCCATTGTCTTTCCGGTCGCTTCAGCAGGAGGGCTGGTCTGCTTCCTGGATATCGGTCATAGAAACTTCTACGTCTGCAACCCTCTGACTGGTTCTGTCAGAGAACTGCCTGCCCGTTCAGTCAAGGTATGGTCTCATGTTTCAAACATGATAATTAGGAATTTTTTTGCGATTGGGTATGGGTACTCTTCTCTTAAAACACGTAAATTCATGTCAAGTACTTCTAATAAGGAAATTTTGTGATTGCGTACATTTTGTGTTTTCGTGCTTTGTTATCGTGAAGGTATGGTCTCGTGTTGCTGTCGGGATGACCTTCAACCGTAATGCGTATAAGATTCTATGGGTGGGTTGCGATGGTGAGTACGAGGTTTATGACTCAATCAGCAACTCATGGACTCGACCCGGTTCAATGCCAGCCAGCATCAAGCTGCCATTATCTCTCAACTTCCGGTCTCAGGCAGTTTCAGTTGAGAACACATTGTACTTCATGCGTTCAGATCCTGAGGGGATTGTCTCGTATGATGTGGCTTCCGGAATGTGGTCCCAATTCGAGATACCAGGCCCATTACACCTGAGTGACCAGGCACTGGCGGAGTGTTCTGGCCGGATCATGCTGGTGGGCCTGCTGTCCAAGAATGCGGCGACCTGCGTGTGCATATGGGAACTGCAGAGGATGACGATGCTATGGAAGGAGGTAGACAGAATGCCAAACTTGTGGTGCTTAGAGTTTTATGGGAAGCACGTGAGGATGACTTGCTTGGGCAACAAGAAAGGTTTGCTCATGCTGTCATTGAGGTCGAGACAGATGAACCGGCTCGTCACGTATGACGTGGCGAGCGGTGAGTGGGAGAAGGTCCCCAGTTGCATGGTGCCACGTGGCGGGAGGAAGAGGCAGTGGGTCGCCTGCGGCACTGCGTTTCAGCCTTCACCTACCGCCGTGGCTTGATACTCATCAAACTCCCTCTCTGTACTGGTAATGCTTTTTCCTCGTTTTTGTGTGTGTTTGGTCGACAACGAACGATCTGTAAGACTGTAACTGTATGTATCCTGTTATGTTTTTCAACTAGAAGACGGTGCATTCGTTTTTCTTTGATTTGTAACCGTTGATTGTACAAACTATGTCGAACAAATAACTTGTCATGTTTGCAGAGACAAATGAATTGCTTGCATATGGTTGGACTTGCAGGTTGAAATTGGCAGTGCGCTGGTTCCCTTGTCATTGTTGTACCTTCAAGTCATTGGCATTGTTTGCTGAGCTTATCCGCATTTATCTCAAAGAACATTCTTATGTCATTTTCATTGTGAATAAAGCTTTCATGAGCAAGCCAAACATATAGAACAGAGGTTTAAGGCAATCAAAGCCTTGAACAATCTGTTACAGGTCTCTACACTATATTACATCAGTTCCTACCGTCGGTTGAATTCCGGAGCATTCGTAGATATTCCGGGACACAGTGGCTCGAACGGTGAACGACATTCATACATGGTGCAACTTTAGTTTTTGATCAATAGATTAAATCGAGATTTAACGAAACCGTTCATTATCACAGTGCACGAACTCATCTCAACGCATCATTTTTACTCTTTCTCATCACTACATTGTATAGATAAGGGGGAAAAGAACATGCGAAACAACTCATTTTCGATTGTCATTCTCTAAAGTAAAATCAGTTCTTCCCCCATACTTAAGCCATGCCTCCACTTGTTGCCGTCCTGATTATCTGGAACAGAGCTGTTGCCAAAAGGAAACCACCATTAGCAATCCCATAGGACGCAAGTAAACAACTAAAAATTACTCTTTATCTGAGATATCATCAGTCATCTATCGCTAACTTTGAACTTTCACAAAGCGGGCTCAATCCTATTCTGGTAAGGTAAACTGAGGACGGCAAAAGTTCTTCGTGCGAGCATAGTTTACATTTTTATAGACCCTAAACCAGCAAAATCATGCCAATCAATTAAGCTGAAAGAGTCCAGCACAAATGACGAAACCCTAGACATTGCAGTGCTAATAAATTGAGATGAGAACATAAAACAAAGATCATTGAGGTGAACAGTAGGCTCACATGATCCAATGACGACGAAGATGAAGAATCCTAGGAGGAAAGGCCCAACAGGGTAATCCTTCCCCTTCTTGGCAGTGGTTTCAGGAACAGCTCCTCTCTTCATGATGTTCTTGTCGAACTTTGAAATCTTCCTATCCGCAAGTCTCTTTGATGTAGTCTGTTAGTAACACAACCACAACCAGATGGATCAAACCATATCAGAACGCCATTGATTATAAATACACAGCTGCAACTAAATGACAAATCAACAGAGAAAAATATTCATCACGCAATCCCTAGTTTCAACATCAAATTTCTCAACTCAGATTCCCCTTGTTGTAGGAATGGCATTGGGGCAGGTCCAGGGCGGGTATCTCGATACCCATACCCGCCCCATGGCAGGTTGAGTCCAGGTCGGGTAATTGATTACGGGGCGCGGGTCAGGGCAAGTCGACCCAATGGGTATGTAATTTATGTCAAAAATATTAGAAATATTAGTTATTTTCATTAAAAGACCAAGAAAAACCATAATATGATAAAATCTAGTTAAATTATTGAAGAAATTGAGATTTTCACTTAATTACAACTTTATTATAGCTAAAATATAATGTAATAAGAGGAGAATACTAAGTAATTTGACTAAGATTATATGTCATTTAGGCACGAACGGGTCGAGAATGGGGCGGGTCAGGGCAGGTCGGGTCGATGAGAGATACTCATGCCCGCCTCGCCCCGCCCCAAAACAGGCCAAACAGGTCGGGTAAATAGGGTCAGATCGAAATTGCCATCCCTACCTTGTTGATTATCAATTCATCATCCCACAGATAAGTTGCACAAGAGGGAAAGACAAATCGCCACAGAACAATTCACCATGCAACCCCTAGTTTCATCATTCGTTTTCAAATTGTCAATTGAGAAGGACACTGATTGTGAATTCATCGCCCACGGAAAGTTGCAACCAGCAGATAAATCAACATACAGTGCTATTTCATCATGCAATCCTTAGTTTCATCAATCCTCGTAAAATTTCGCAACGATATACACGATAGAACACCAGAAACATGCAGTCGGATACCAAATCACCCCCGATCCAAACGAAAATTGGCGGACTGATAGCTGGATCTGATCGGATCAATACTCACTAACACGGAGGACGACCAGGATTTCGATCTACGCCGGAGGAGAATAGCTCCAACCAAAAGAGAAAGGAGCGGCATCGGGGAAGACACTTACCATGTTATCGACGGAGAGATCGGGACGGCCGGAATCAGTTGAGAGCGAGAAAATGTCGAAAAGAAACACCAACAAAAACTCGAAGCAGAGTTTCCTCCTCTCACCGGCGAGCTCGTTCTTTCTCTTCTTCTCTTCCTGGCTCTCGCTCCGCCCTTTTTCTCTCTCTCCCCCTTCTCTTTCAAACCTGAATTCCTGATCCGTCTCTAATTCCCCAAAAACTCGCCCTCGCTTATCTGTTTTTATTTTCGATTTACAGAGAAATAAAAACAAATTTTAGGCCTCTGGGCTTTCCTTTGCCGTTTGGTCATGGGCTTCGCTGTGATTGGCTAACACTTGCCGAATAGGACAGGCGGCTGGATTTTATTTGATGGCCGGCACACGTCAGACTTTGAGTTGGCGAAACCGCCGTGCAGCAGTGGTGGCGACTGGTTCGCGAAATTCCTGAAACGGTCCGTCGTTTCCGATTTTTGAATGGTTTGATGATAAAAAAGAAAAGGAAAATTAAAGAGTGATTTTTTTAAATTGTTTTAAAGGGGCATTATCCTTCCACGCGGTCGCCTGTCTGTCGTGGTGGGCTCGTCCCGAAGAAGACTGGCCACCGCGTCACGGCCCACATGGTTTAGTAGTTGCAACCATTCATTAACCGACCTGGTTTGTTGACCAAATCCTACTGTCTTTGTGTTAATTGTACTTTTGGGGTGGGATGCGTTGCTAACTTTATAATCCTTTAGGACGGTGGCAATTCGAGTTCAAGATAAGGTGGATAACCATCAATAAACAAATTTGGACCTTTCATTTAAAAAATCAAGATCTAATGATGGAATATTAAAGGTCATTTTTATTTTTCCTAGCTTTCTTAATTGGCTCATATTTTTTTCGTTTTAACTCGGATTTTTTTTTTAACAGATGGAACGAGTTCATCGTGCTCTACAAAATGAGATTAAATTTCAATATTTTTTGAGAAAAAAAATTCTGGCCTCTCGATACTAACTGCATACCATATGGTATCTTCTTCGTTTTTAATTCGTTTTTGAAAACGTTTGCACAGAAGGGACGAGTTCATCATGATCTATTGGATCTACAAATTTTTGGGTGAACAAATTACATGACCAAAAAAATATCACACAATACCATATAATACCACCCTGGTACGGGATGGTATCTTGTGGTACACAAAGTTAAAAGTCGTAAATGACAATTAATATATTTCTACTATCATGTATTCAACCATCCTACAGTCTTGGTTTGTTCATACCACCATGGTACGCTTTTCAAACTATATGTATGCTCTTATTTCAATACCGTATGGTATAGACTAATAAAAAATGGCTCAATTTTGTTTATTCGAAAAATATATCAAAGTGGATATCATTTTGAAGAACACAATTTAATCTGATCTAACTGTGCAAAAAAATTAAATTTCGACTTAAAACGAGTGAGAAATCGTCCGTCAAAGATTAAGTAGGGGAAAATTAAAGGCTTCCCAGCTTTCCGCTCGTCGTCGGGTGATGGTACTCGTTGTTCTTCCGCCACTGAGGAGGTTGCTGATTTGAAGCTAACTTAATAGTTCGCTATGGATCCCTTTCTCGCCTAAGGTTGTGCATGATCCGATTGATATTGTAGTAAAGAGGCAGTAAATCACCCGATTGGCTACGGGGCGTGCACTACCTTTCAGTTGTCACACACACTAAAGTCAAACACAACTGAGAAACTCAAAGGATGAAACAACCCAGAAAAGTAAAGGTAAAGTAATATATGTATTCATTTCTTAATCTAGAACCACCCCTAACAACTGGTCAAAAAACTTGACTCGTTGAAACTACAACCCAATCAATGGTTAAATACAACCAATAACAACAGGAACACAGTATAATAGACAACAATTCTCCTAATATTGTAATTTATAGGATTGGTTATAAATTGGATGAACATCAAGTTATCATTCAGGTAAGATTGAATTCAATTAACTAAATTTTTTTAGTTATCATTAATCAAGGAATTTGATGTTGAATAAAACAATTAGTGGTCTAAAGTTGATGATTGGATCACACTCTACTTAATTATGTATAACGTATTTAGTGATCTAATGAGCAAAAGTCGATATGTCCGAGTGGTTAAGGAGACAGACTTGAAATCTGTTGGGCTACGCCCGCGCAGGTTCGAACCCTGCTGTCGACGATTACTCTTTTTTTCATCCTCCTTGAATTTCTTTTAATTCCACACGTCGATCCTCAAATTCCAACGAATTAACCTCCCCTCTTTTTTTTTCAGTTACCTCAAGTCCTTCCGTCTTTCTCCCCTTCAAAGCTTCGCGTGACTCCTAAGCCGTAAGAGAGAAAGCAAAAAGAGAAGCGGCGGGAACTGGAAGTGCCAGAGAAATTTCTTCGGTGAATTCGACCTCCATGGATCCAGACGCCCTTGCGAAGGCATTCGTGGAGCTCTACTACAGCACGTTCGACAGCAATCGAGCAGGATTGGCCAGCCTCTACCAGGACGGCTCCATGCTGACCTTCGAAGGCCAGAAGATCCAGGGCTCGCAGAACATCGTCGCGAAGCTTACCAGTCTTCCTTTCCAGCAGTGCCAGCACAGCATCACAACCGTCGATTGCCAGCCGTCTGGTCCCGCCGGCGGCATGCTCGTCTTCGTCTCTGGTAACCTCCAGCTCGCCGGCGAGCAGCACGCTCTCAAGTTCAGCCAGGTATGCGCTCCTTCGACCTCGATTTCGTCCAATTTCGTTTTCGATGCTTCTTCGTGGACCTTGTTAGGGTTAGTTCTTACTGCTTTTTGTTTGAATTCTGATCTTCCGCGAGTCAATCATAGTTAGATCGATTGCAAGATTCGGATGCCTCGATTGAACGATCTGCTGAAATTTTAGGAGAGTTATATTAGGAATTTAGCGTTTTGGTAGCTGGATTAAGTTACATCGGAGAATACTGTTTGAGGTCCCTTAGATCTGAATATCCTCATCTTTCTGTGACTTTGAGAGCTTGGCACCGTGGCTAGCTTTGCTTGCTAGCTTCGATTGTTGTATACTCGCTAGATTGTGCTGTTCCGTAATTCGTAATTGGCAATTGTATGTTCGCTGGCCTTTGCTTCTGGTTCACCGGAGTAGCTTGCAATAATAGGGACTCTTGAAGACGTTTACCCCCCCTACTGTATCTTCGTTTTTTGCTGTCACCGCAGATTTGCATTGAGCTCTTAGCTTTATTCCTGTCTTTTTGCTAATTGCATCACCCATTCCTTGCATCTTAGGCATAATTTTACTTTTAGTCTAAAAAGGTTGAGAGATGACTTCCATTGATCGACCGTACAACCAAAGCTGATATTCGTTTAGTCTTTAGATACTTCCTGGCTTCCTGAAATACCCTAACATTTCATTTGTGTAGCAGAGAGATATTCAAGTGCTGTTTTAATCTTTAGAGGTTAAAGGTTTTTGCTAATTGCACGATGATTCTTTGCGTCATTTTATCTTTGGAATATCTTATTTTATTCTGGTATAGAGAGAACGAGCGATGACTTTCCATTGTTCGACCATGCAGTTGAGATCTTATTTCCTTTTGATACATCCTGCATTAACCTGAGAGTACAGTTGTGTAGCAGAGAGACTGTCAATGATGTTTCCATTATCAAGCAAGTCTGACTAATCTCCCAGGACATATTCGGATGATACTTTTTGGATAACATATTGTGCTGCTATCTGAACTTTAGAAGCCATTTATGTTTCTTTCCCTGTTTACATGCATACATTTTTGCTGTGCTTATGGGTGTCTGAGGTTTTCGTACTAAGCCCTTTAATGTTACAAAATGCTTAGGTTTAGCTAATTGATGTGAACACTTCTTCACTAGCCATTAATCCTCTGGCATTGTCTTTTATGAGACATCCTCGTTCTTGAATGCTATCTTCTTGTGCATTGTAATGTTGATATGCTGTGCATCTTTTGATGAAATGTGAACTGTAGAGACTTATTTGCACCGATCCTCCAGCTGACCGCCTTTTTCACTGGTTTCTGCATTTTCAGATGTTCCATTTGATGCCAACTCAGCAAGGAAGCTTTTATGTGTACAATGACATTTTCCGGCTGAACTATGCATGAAGGACATCGATTGAGGAGGAGAGAAAACGTCCTATGTAAACCGGATCTCCTTGGTTAAAAAAAAACAGTTTGCTTCCTTTTCTGTTCAGTTCTAGACATTCCAAATGGGAAACTCGCATTTTTCGGTTATGTTTGATTCTCCTTTATCTCTTTGTTGTCTCCGAAAGTTAAAGAGTGTCTCGATTGTTTGAATTGTCGAAAGTTGCTCCTTGACACTAGTGTTTAAATTGAAGAGAAGGATTGGTGGCAGTACTGAGATATCTTTGAAACTTCATTTGACTTCTCCTGATATTCTTCACATTCCGAACAGGTATCCAAATCAAAGCTAGCTATTCAGTTGGTGGAAGTGAATGCAGAACAAAGAGGGAGCAGGTCTTACTGGGAGTTGCTATAGCTGCAGTTGTAATAATTTCATTGTTCTAGTCATGTTTCACAGGTGACAAGTTGCTCAACGCTCATTGGAACAGACGACTTTGAGCAACTTCGACGAGGATTTACATCATTGCCCCTCCTGCTTTTTGGAGTTGGGTCGAGTAAAATATGTATCAGCAGCCTGGCGTAAAGAAGCGACAGCATTCTGCCCAGTCTTCGCCAAATGCAGAAAAAAGAAAAGACTACAAATGGGTTGATACAAATACACAGCAAAAACCTACGGGCGCCATGGATGCAAGCTTGGTTGCTACCACTTGTCTTCACCATTGAACCGAAACTCTACGTGGGGAAGCTCGGGGATCTTGATCGAATCGGACTCCTCAGCAGAATGTTTCTTCTCCCCGTCCTGCTCCCTGCGCGGAAAGAAGCTGCTCAGCAAGGACCTCACGGGATGGCTCAGTTTGTCCTTGACGGCCAAGGCGATGGACACCTCGGAGACTTGCCAGGCCACCGTCACGACGATCAAAGCAGAAAGCAGGCAATGAGTGATGAAGTTCTGCCTCTTCACCTTCTTAATCTCCTTCACTAGCTCCTCATCTGCATCGGTTTCCTTGCTATTCCGGCCGGAACCTGGTTTCCGGTTTCTCAACCTGCTTTCTCCGCCTCGTGGAGAGCTTGCCTCCGATGACCCCGGTTGTTTCAGCGTCCCTTCTCCTTTCAGCGATTCCAACTGTCCACGGTAACGTATAATCATATCATTATTATCTTCCTCTATGTTCTTCATTCAGAATCTAAGGTGGTCTGGTCGGGAGGGAATTGGTTGTTACCTCGGCGAGTAATCTGGAGAGAATAGGGCGATCTTTGTCGTCCAAGGAGATGGAGTCGCCGTAGGCTTCTTCTTCTTCGTTCTTCTTCTCTTCTATTAGCTTCTGGATTTCTTCGGTGAGAAACTGCAACTTTTGAGTGGATTCCATTGCCCTTTTCTCTGAATTCTTTTTGTTCGATCGTGTAAATTCCTTGAGGGGGGTTGTGAATTGTGATTGGAGTTTGGGGAAGGAAAGGAAAGCGACGGATGGTAAGAGAAGGGGACTAATCATTTGGCGGAAAATGCGAACGATGGTCGAATTACTGTAGGACACGTGGCTGCATCCTGCATGTCCATGTGTTTCTTTCTCCCGTGCTGTCGTGTGAATTGGCGTTTCTTGCGGTGCTGCATTAATTTCGCTCACTTCTGAATTTTGTTCTACAAAGTTGTGGGCTATGCTACTATCGGTTGGTGTCTTATTTTATTTAGGGTTCGTTTGTTTGTAATTGTCCCCTAAATATCATCAAGTATTATGGATTTGATAAAAAAAAAAATACATTGTTTGTTAAGGTATATAAATTTGTGATATCCATGCAATTAGATTTTTTTAGTTTAAAATTTGTGGACCCTACGTATTACAAATACTACATTTCATTTGGTATTTGGTCATAGAATGCAAGAATTTGAGACCCATGGTACAAAAATCTTTAAATTCATGATAAAAATCAACTAAGCGAATAATGTTATCTTTCAAATATAAAATGAAACAAATCCATCATAAATTCAAAGATTTTAAAAATCGTAAACGTTTATTTTCAAATCAAACAAGCAAACGAGCCCATGTCTCATGTCTTTAGCTTTGGAAGTTCTGCAAAACTTTGGAATGTGCCTATATATATGAGTCTTTTCTCATCCCGTGGGAATGAACTAAGATAGAAAACTGGACAGGAAAAGTGGAATAGTGAACCCAAAAGAGAGGGAATGCATTCGAAGCTACAAGGAAAGTTAACTCTATCTTTGTTTTTAGGGCAAATACAATATAATATCCATAACTATTATGGATCGGGGATTTATATCCTCAATTATCAATATACAAATTAATATCCATAACTATAGTTGCGGGTCAAGATATGGCTAACAGTCTGTTACCACCGTTAAATTTGTAACGGAGACTGCCATGTCAGCATTCATATTGGCGTCCACATCAGCAAATAATTAAATATATAATTTTTATTTTTAAATTAAAAAAATTAAAAAATTAAAGTTGACAGATGAGAGAAGGGGGAGATGGACAGATGAGAGAAGAAGGGGTTGAGGATAAGAATTGGGTGAATGGATGTGAGAGGAGGGGAGGGATAATTTTTGTTTTATTTTTTACGTTTTATGTTATTATTTACTTAATCAATTCCACAGGGATGCCACATTCTCAATTCCACCTCAGTTTTTTTTTGCCAGGTCAGCATTGCAGAAAGACCTACTAATGGGGTATTAACGGACAATTAACGATTGGATATTAATTAGTATATTGCTAGTTGAGGATATAAATCCCCGATCCATAATAGTTATGGATATTATATTGTATTTGCCCTTGTTTTTATTTCAACTTTATCTGAAGAAAAGAAATTTCTTCTCTTTCGGTAAGTGTGATCTTATTGGTGGATGAAGTATATTCAGTTTCATGAATACGTAAGCCCAATAATTCTATGTTGAAGTAAAAGTACATTTTTCGGCCATGACCCTAGCCCTAGCCCTAGCTTTGCCGTCGTCGTACTCCCAACTGCAGCCAGGTGTTTGGCTTGTGTGTTCCGCACTCCACGATCATCAGACAGAAGCAACAATAATTTATTTATGTTTCAATTATAAAATTAAACCTACAAATCTACACCATGTAAAAATGTTCAAGACCGGAGGTGTTCCAACTATTATTTAATTATGTATGCATTCAACTATTTGTGAAGGTAATCAATTTGATATTGACAAATACCGATACCAACCAAAGTGCTTTGGAACTGGAATTGAAAAACCAAATTTATTTTGCAATCATAATTAGCATTCACTTTGAGTCACTATTCATCGTTCGTAATTTCAATATTTGGTACCGAAATACCGATTCCGTGCTAACCACCCTAGTGGTCCGTTTCACAACATTTTCCAGATGGTAATCATTTGGTCCATTTCACAAATGTTAAATATGTTTCGGGTTACTAGAAAAGGAAATGGAAAAGCAGGACTACAAAACCATTTACAAACAGCAAGCACAAGTCCTTACACAGTCGGGCCATTTACAACTGCGATGATAGCACAGCACTTGCCCATTCAAGTACATCAGAAAAGAAGCATTTCACAATATCTAAGAATGCCATTTACACCAACGTTGAGCCTCAAAGAGCAGCTACCCTCCAGTCGCCTATCTCAAACAAACCTGTATTCGATGCCCCCGCACCACCAAAGCTTAGGAAGTAGACATGAATTGCCAGAATGGGGCTCTACTTCTACTGGAAATGGTGCTGAGTTTCACTTTCCATTGTCGACGCACTGGCCTGATTTGAAGTTCCCGCTTCGCTGCTGGCAGCAAGTTCAGCCTAGCAAGTTTGTGAATATTAGTGTTTACAGTCCCCATTCAACGATAAACAGTAGAATGTTCAGGATCATAAGTTCATCGTTGGATTTGTTCAACTTTCTTTAATGCTCATCAGTAACAAAAGCATTTAGACCCGAATTACCGCTTACCTTTGCTTGTTTGTAACGCTCGAGCATCCTTTGATACTGCTGACGTGCCTCTGGAGACTTGACCATCGACAGAACCCGTGACACTGCCTCATCGACAGTTCCATCAACCTTCTGTTTACGAAACATCTTGAGGATGTCTTCTTCCTCCTCTTCTTCGTCCTCAACAATGGGGTCCGTTTCGTTCCTTAACCCACGCAACCCAGCTCCCTTTCGCCGCCACCTCAGCACAACTTTATCAATAATCCCAACTGCCCAACAGATTACCCTGTAGTGCTTCCTCATCTGATAACCTCTCACATATGCCTGCAATCAAACGAGAGTAAGAGAATATCTCATTTCAAGGCGGCTGATCAGCCATGCAACTGGAGATATAAACGTGTTGATTTTAGCTTTAAAAAAAGTTGTACGAGAAAAAAGATTACTTTAAACTTGAAACAAACACGCCTTTTCAATATAATTTCTTAAACTATTCAAACTCTTCAAAAAGGTCACAAAACCAAGACACTCTAAAAATAGTGAAGGCCAAAATTGAAGTCCTAATGTCATTTCATCTTCCTACTTCAAATATCAAAGAAAACCAACGAATTAATACCTGTATTTTCACGATTTTCTGCCTCAGGGTAAGGAAGTCTTGTCGACCCCTCCAACCACGATACTTCTTCTGGATAGACAAAGCAGCGGAATTATAATCACGTGGGTTGCCAAAGGCCATCTTTGACAGCGCCGAAAGCCCCTGGATGTCACCAGATAAAATGCCATACTCATCTGCAGCAGCTAGAGCTTCCCTCTGCTGCCGCCTCCTGAAAGAATGTGCACGGAAAGCAGATTGTATCCGGGCAGCAGCCTGTGCTGAATTCCGAACAGCAGCCAAACTATTCTTTATCGAGACCTGATCTTCAGAAGCAGGAAAGCTCTCTTTCACAATACTATCCATGGTTCTCTCGGCTTGAACCTCAGCCGATCCTTTGGATAACTCACTCTCCTCTAATGTGAGTGAGGAGAGATGGCTTGTCAGTGCCAGCTCAGAGAGATAGCCAGCAAGTCCATCATGGCCATTGATGGCAGCTACGGAAGCTGGGGTCTTTCCAATCGGATCTTGTGAAGTAGGATCTGTCACAGCTCCAGCTGAAGCTCCGGAAGCTATTAGGGCTGCAACCATTTTCTCCCTAAGAGAAAGAAAACAAGTAAGATAGCAGTATCCTTGACCTTGATATGATGCTGAATGGAACTGTTACATCAACAGTTGCCCTGCAAATTACCTCCGAGAGCTATATTTTAACTGATAATGACAATTAAAGTGAAAGTTACAAATAGTTCTGAATAAATATAGCAGTGGCAATGAGATTTCACGATACGAGAAAGTGATATTATGATCTTGAAATATCGATGTCATGGAAAAGTGAAAACATGTGACAACAGAAACAATTCACTTTTTTTTGTATAAAAAACAATTTACGTAAGGAAGAACATCAGATACCAAAATCCTTACCTCCCAAAGCGAGCAGCCCAATGAAGAGCAGTCCAGCCATTGATATCCCTGAAATCAACACTGACTCCACGACTAAGAATGGGGCTCAAGGCCCACTCAAAGCCCAACCCAGCAACCATATGTATAATCCCTTGCTCTTTCTTGGACAGATATTGACCAGCAGGTTGATCATCTGACGACCCATTGTACTTGGAGGAAAGCCAATGAAGCAGCTTATCCTTGAGAAGTTGTTGCAGAAGCCAATCGACAGTGACTGATGAAGTTCCACTACCAACTAAAAGAGCCTCGATTACCTGAGTCCATGAGTCGTCATCCATATTTGATGCTCCAGGTTGATTAAGTGCAGAAGATTCTACGCTGCTAAGTTTCTGAGAAGAGGACTCGGACAGAAGTGACTGTGCAAATCTGATGAGTAACAGCAGTTCTTCTGGATTCTTGGATTCCAATGGGGATAGAGCACAATGAATACAACCAAGACCAGGCTTCTTTCGAAACTCAAAGTCTCGGATTTCACTACAAGATTCTCGATTGCCAGATGTGATACAGACCGATACTTTTCCTGCATCTAGAGAAGGGGTCTCACACTGTATAACACCTTCCTGAATAATCCTTATAGGGACTTCAGTGTCGCCAAACATGCAGGCCCATGTCGATTCAGAGGGGTCAGAGAGAAAAGAACCGACTATCAAAACCTGCATTCACAGATTAGACGTCAAAATTGGACCAAAAAGAGTCCCAACGACAATTCAAAGGGGAAGCCTGCCAAAACCGCAAACAAAATAGCAGTGTACTGAGTACAAAGGCTGTGGAAGCTAATCCCGAGAAAGACATCCCATGGAAGCTGAAGAAAGGTGATGGCTAACAAAAGCAAAAACTATTAGTAACCAATACCCTGTAATAATCAAAAGGCTTTCCGAAAAATCATCATATTCACCCGACCAACATGAAAAACCTGGTCCATAGCAGTCACTCAGCTCCGTTCGGTTTTTTGGTCCCCAGTCAACTGTTAGAGTTCATTATGTGGCCTAATGGTTCCAGTTTCTTATATTGAATCCGTAATGCTTATTTATATGGTTTGGTTAGCAGACGGAACCGGTTAGGCACCCTCCTATGCATAAGAATCAATGGTACACCTATACTGTTCTAGTTTTGCATCGAGATCTTGCATCAAACAAATGTCCAATGCCATAAGGGCCTTTATCAATCATGACTGAACTATTCAAACAAATACAATAAATCAACAGAGAGGGGATAATACTGTGACCAAAAGAGAAAAGTAGCTAGCTATGCCAAACAATTTCATATAGCAAGATAGCCAGACAGTTACCTTTGTACCCTCGTAGCAATAACCCCACTCTGGACAAATTTCCCGGATTGTAAATTTCTGATGTTGACCAAGGGTCAACTGGGAGTCTGCTTGATCATGACTGTAGAGCATTGGGTAGTCAAAATTGACTGGTTGACTTTCCAGACCAGAGTATCCAAGAACTTCAAATTTTCCAACTTCAGGAAGCAAAACAGAAGCTGAAAAACAGGCAAGGTTTGTCAACAGCTTCAAGGGAGTTTTCCAGATTATCGAAGTAACAATGGAGCATAAATTCAAACAGAGCAACCCTTACATTTTTCAGAATTATTTCCGCCAAAACTTA